GGTTTATTGCGTCAGCCGAGGGGGAGGGGCGCGCGGACCGGGTCCACGGGAGTGGGGCCCACGCGGCAGCCTCACGGTTCACGGTGGACCGGGCGCACCCGGCTCGCACCGGCCGGCGCCGTGGGCCCCACACGTTAGCCGCACCCGAGGGCGCGGGCTGCTGACGGCTGGGCCCCACGCGGCAGCCACTCGGCGCGCACGAGGGCGGCCACGCCGGCGCGGTCGGTGGGAGGCGGCGCGCCCGCGCCCCGATGGTCGCCGCCGGCGACCACCGGCGCAGCGGAACGGCGGCCGAGAGAGGGGAGGGAAGGGGGAAAGGAGGCGACGGTCCACGGCTCACCCCGGGGCGACGACGGCGACGGAGGGGGCGGTCGGAGCAGAGGGAGGCGGCGGCGCGGCTCGGGTCGACGGGGTCGACGGCGTTCCGGCGGTCGGCGACTGAAACGGAGAGGTGGACGAGGTCGGCGAGGATGCGGCGAAGCCGAAGGAGGCGGCGCCGAGGTAGGAGGCGGTCCGGGGCGACGACGGCGGCGGACCGGAGCTCGGCGGCGACGGCGGAGAGAGAGAGCGACGTCGCGGGCTCGAATCTAGCGAGGAGGAAGGGCGGCGAGAGGCGGAAACGGACGGAGGAGGTGCGGGGAGGGTTTAAATAGGGTTGGAAGGGGGAGAGAGCGGCCGGAGGGGAAGGAAACCGGCGCGGGAGGTCCGGCCGCCATCAATGGCGCCGGCGAGATTTGCGGGGGCAAATCCGCCCGTTTGAACGCGAGAGAGAGAGAGGGAAAAATGGGGGGAAAGGGAGAGGGGATCACGGGGAGTAATTCCCCCCACTTTATTGCACGCAGGGACGGCGGGAGGCGGCGGGATTCGCGGCGGCGGCGGCGCTAGGGCGCGGGGGAGGCGGCGGGAGCGGCGGGATTAAGGGGATGACGGGTGGGCCCCACCCGTCAGCGAGGGTGGCGGGCGGGCCCGCCCGTCAGCGGCGCGCGCGCGGGGAGAGGCCGGATGGGCCGCGGGGAGAGGAGAGAGGGAGAGGGGGGGAGAGATGGACCGGGCCGGCCCAAGGGAGGGAAGGGGGACTTTTTAGGGTTTTTCTTTTTATAAAACTTTTTTAACTTTGTTTATTTCTTAACAATTATTATTTGTGCTCTGAAAATTCCACTAAAATTTATTTACGTATTTTAGGCTTTTAGGAAATATACAAAAATCCTCTAAGCATTATTTGACTTTTAACTTTGCACATTTTAATTGTTGGAGGCTTTCACACGGATTTTAATTATTCTAGGCATAATTTAGAGGATATATTTTAGGGTCGTTTTGGGACGTGACAACCATCAAAAAGAGTTACGTGGTGAGTCTGTAGATGGGATCGTAGATGCGATTGATAAAGGTGTCACTGATGGTGATTCAATTGGAAAGCGTGTCATACTTCCTGCCAGTTTCACTGGAGGGAGAAGGTATATGGTGATGAACTATCAAGATGCAATGACAATATGCCGTGTTTATGGATCACTTGACCTCTTTGTGACATATACATGTAATTCAAAATGGCAAGAAATTGCTGAAGCGATTCGATTTGAGCCTAGTCAACAACCATCTGATAGAGCCGATATCATTGTTCGTGTATTTAATATGAAGGTTAATGAATTCATAGCTGATATTAGAGAGGGCAGAACTTTTGGTAAAGTTCTTGCAGGTATTCTTATACCCTCTTGGTCCATAGAATATATTGAATTAAGGATAGCACACTCATAGTATTCTCTCTTAAGTTATTACAGTCCTCTACACTGTTGAGTTCCAGAAACGTGGGCTTCCGCACATACATTGCTTGGTTTGGCTCGCAGCTCCCACTGCTGACGTGTCAGCATCTATCATAGATGGCTTCATATGTGCTGAAATACCCGATTATGACACTGATCGACTAGGATATGAATTGGTTAGCGAGTTCATGATGCATGGTCCCTGTGGTGATGCAAACAAAAGTTGTCCTTGCATAAAAAACGATAAATGCTAAAAAAAAACTACCCTAAAGATTTTCAAGATGAAACCATTATTGATGAAGCTGGTTTTACAATTTATAGACGAAGAAATGATGGACGATGTATTATAAAAAATGGAATTCCCTTGGATAATAGATCTGTTGTCCCCTATAACATGAAATTACTTAAAAAATACGAGGCACACATAAATGTTGAGTGGTGTAACAAATCAAATTTGATAAATATTTATTTAAATATATCATGAAAGGCCAAGACCGAGCTAAAATCTACTTCGAAACAATAGCTAAGACAACAAATGCATCACCGAATCATGACCTTGCTCCACGTGATGAAATATTAGAATACATGGATGCAAGATTTGTTTCGACCTGTGAGGCACTTCATCGATTGTTTGAATTTGATATACACTATAGAGTACCTCCTGTTGAACGATTGGTTGTCCACTTACCTGGGAAAAACTATGTTAGATATGAGAAAGGATCGGACTTACGAGCAGTGCTTGAAAGTCCTGCTACGAAGCGTTCAATGTTAACTGAATGGTTTGAAGCTAACAAAAAATATTCTAAAGCCCGTTCATTAACATACTGTGAATTTCCGAAAGAGTGGTCATGGGAGTCGTCATCTAGAGTATGGTGCCAGCGAACACCTGCTGCAAAAATTGGTAGAATATATTATGTGCATCCAACTGCTAGTGAACTTTACTACCTACGCATGTTGTTAATGATTGTTAAAGGTGCTCAAAGTTATGTTGATGTGCGTACATTTAATAATATTGTCTATGCCACATTTAGAGAAGCATGTGAGGCACGAGGGCTCCTTGAGGGGGACAATGAATGGTATCTACTTTTCGATGAAGCAATAGTCTCTGCATCTTCACAGCACCTTAGACAACTTTTTGTGACTATACTTCTTTACTGCTCTGTTAGTGATGTGCGATCATTGTTTAACAAGTATTGGTTATATATGATAGATGATATACATAGCAAACTAAAAAAAGCATTGGATAACCCGAATTGTATCATTCCACCTGACCATTTGCTTAATCTTCTTCTCCACGAACTTGCTAATGTGTTTGCGAATAGTGGTGGTAATATAAAGGATTTTAACCTGCCACATCCATCGTCTGTACCGCATATTCCTGGTAATAATAGATTGATTGAAGAACTTGCACTTGATCCACTTATGTTAAGCATGCATGCAAATTCTTTGATACACCAATTGAACAATGATCAAAAAAAACATTTTCGACATCATAACTTCTCGTATTGCTGCGAATCAACCTGGTTTTTTCTTTGTGTGTGGCCATGGTGGAACTGGAAAAATATTCCTGTGGAATGCTATTATTGCAAAACTTAGATCACATAATAAAATTGTTCTTGCCGTCGCTTCATCGGGCGTAGCGTCACTGCTATTACCTAGAGGCAGAACAGCTCATTCTCGATTTAAAATACCAATTGACATTGATGAAATAGGTATTTGCAATGTAAAACGAGGAACTATGCTTGCTGAGCTTTTAATTGAGACTGCATTAATCATATGGGATGAAGCTCCAATGACACATAGGCGATGCTTTGAAGCACTAGACCGCACATTATGTGATATACTTTCTGAGACATGCCCTTTGAATTCTATTATACCTTTTGGAGGAAAACCTGTTGTCCTAGGTGGTGACTTCAGACAAATATTGCCAGTTGTTCCTAAAGGCTCCCGTCGTGCTATAATCAATGCATCGGTCACAAACTCAGACTTATGGAAACATGTGACAATATTAACTATGAATATAAAAATGAGATTACTTAATACAATGCTACCTAAAAATGAAAAAAAGGACATGGATGATTTTAGCCAGTGGGTTTTGGCTGTTGGTGATGGCACTTTACCAATGATAGCAAAGGAAGGTGAAAGCTATCCTACATGGATCACAATTCCTGATGATTTACTCATTATAACTGATGGTGATAAAATAAATGCCATTGTCAGCGAAGTATACCCTGATTTCCTTGCATCATACAAAAATCCTGAATACCTAGCTTCACGTGCAATTGTTTGCCCTAATAATACAACAGTTGATGAAATAAATGACTATATTATTGGTTTGCTTCCTGGAGATGCAAAAATATACTCAAGTTGTGATACAATATCAAAATGCTCTGAACAAATACCAGATTTTGACTTGCTATATCCACCTGAGTTTCTTAACTCAATAGACGCCACTAACTTCCCTACATATAGACTTATTCTTAAAGAAGCTGCTGTGGTCATGCTACTTCGAAATCTGAATCAATCAATTGGGCTATGTAATGGAACAAGATTATTAGTTACAGGTTTGGGTGAAAGAATTCTTCAATGTATCATATTAACTGGATCAAACATCGGTGAAACTGTTTACATACCTCGGATAACACTGAGTACTACCAAAATGAAATGGCCTTTTACATTACAAAGAAGACAATTCCCTGTTCGTGTTTGTTATTCAATGACTATCAATAAAAACCAAGGTCAAACACTTCAACGAGTAGGTGTATATCTTAGAAAACCTGTTTTCACACATGGGCAATTATACGTTGCTATTTCAAGAGCAACAAGCCGATCAGGTTTAAAAATATTAATTGAGAATGACGATGGATCATGTGGTACACAAACAAGAAATATTGTTTACACCGAAGTGCTTAGCGCTACATTGCCAGCGGTGCTTTTCAACACACTGTTCCATATATCATGTTTATGTGTTCTCTTAAATTATCAATAATAATTGAAATACCTTTCTGTTGCAGGCTTTGCCGCTCCATGCTTAACCTCTTTTACCCTAAAAAAGAAGCAATTTTGTACATATATTTTGGAATAAATATACCTCCTTCACATGTACCATATACTATATACATAGTATATGATTTGTCCGCTGCAGTTATATGTACTGTTCTTCTTAGTAACATTTCCTTGTACATATATAGTAGTGTTGTTTTGTCTATACTAAAAGTATTTTGTGCTTATTGCAGATTCCATATGGCGCATGTACTGATTTCACAGCTATCGTTTGGAGATTCAAACAAAAGAATCCTTGCAAGGGTCTCCAGGCTATGGAACTTTACTGATCTCAACGATGATACAAAAATTTTCCACACTGATCTTGTCTTACTCGATGAAATGGTAATAATTTACGTGCCAAATCCATTTTCTATATTTTCCTTTCTATACCGATAATTCTCTTGATAACATGATTTGTATTTATAATCTGCAGGGGACTAGCATACATGCCCAAATTTACCCCCCTATAACAGAAAAGATGAAACCTCTCCTTAAGGAAGAAAAGGTTTACTACATTGACTCATTCACTGTTAGGGCTGCAAACAGAACATACAGGCTAGTTGCAAACAACCTAATGATCCTCTTCAGTAAATGGACAACACTTGAAGAACACATTAATGTCCCTCCTCATTTCCCTGGTATTACATTTTCACTGACACCATTCGAAGATGTTCCTTCCCTTGTCGAGAAAAAATCATTCTACGTTGGTAATAACATACTTTTATTGTGTTGCAATTATTGTTATATACATCTTTTGCAATGCCATATCATTTTATTAAATTTATATGCAATGCAAACAGACATTATGGGTGTGATCACTGAAGTTGGTGCAGTCACTACTATACGTCCTAAGTCCAGAAACGCTAAGAGCTTAAAAAGGACATTACAGATCCGCGATGCAAGGCTAGTTTAGTACAACTAAATATTTACATATTTATTATTTACTTAATCTTTTTCGCTAGCATTCACACAAACTATCTCACATATTCTTAACACTAAGTCATCTCTTCCAATTAAAATTAAATCACTTTTTCCCCTCCAAATCTACAAAACTAGCAATTCAACTCTTCCTGTCACACTCTGGGGAGAAAGAGCAACCTCTTTTGATGCTGATGACATATACAATGCTGGTCAAACTCAAGCTCAAGTTGCTGTGTTTGTTGGAACACTTGTGAAAGATTATAGAGGATTAGGTACATTTCTTTCTAAACTTTCAATTACTGTAGTATTGACTACATGCAACTAACAATATCTAATAATTTCCTCCACATATATAGGCCTTACACTAACTGGAAGCTTACCATCTAAATATTCCTGAAGTAGCAGAACTAAATGAGAGGTAATTTAATTTATTTAACGTTATTCTTACAATCTATGTGCATCACTGTATTCTTCAAGGTTTTCACAGTATCCATTAATCTAAGATACAATTCTTCTATGTAGCTTTAGCACAAACTTTCAACCAATCAAGTGGGTTGATGAGCCTGCTACAGGATACAACCAGGATGTACCAGAAGAAAAGAGTATTGCAGAAATCCTTAATATCAACCCTCACAAACACAAGGTTGACACTATCTCTAGAACACATCTTAACTACATCTATCCACTTTTTGATGATATAATTACCAATATGATATTTTCATTGTCTTCTTATGCAGGGAACACGTTTTATAGTAAATGTGACTGTCAGAAGGATATGTAATGAATATTCTTGGTGGTACAATTCATGTCGAATATGCTACAAAACTTCAAAACCATATGGCTCTAGCTACAGATACTCCAGCTGTTCTAGCATCGGAATAACAGATCCAAGGTTCATAACAGAACACGCTCTGTCCTCTTACATCTTTAGCAATTATCATCCACACATTGCTATAGCCATATCCATTTTTCATGCAGGTACAAAGTAGTATTAATTGCCAGCGATGATGATGCTAATGCTACATTTATCCTTTTCGGAAGGATCGCACAACGGCTACTACGCAGGCCCGTAGAATCTCTCATTGAAGAAAAACCACCAAACAGTGAATACATTCCAAGTGAAATCACGTCACTTATTGGTAGCAATTTTGCATGGAATGTTAGCTTTACGCGGGATACTGTTATGAGAAGTCAAGAGTGCCTACAAGTTAATAGCATTATATCCGCTGGTGCTTCAAACCAGCCACTACTCCTTATGTCCCCAGATGCTTCACAAGTGACATCAGCTATTGTCTCAGCAAGCTCAAGCAGCTCTGTCCAAACAGCACCAACACCAAATGAAACAAGCAATGAATCACAGCAGCCCATTTAACCAAGACAAACCATCTCAACACCAACCAAGTTCATCATCGCTCAGGGAACACAGGACACCCCAACTAGCAAATCAAGTTCTTCAGCACCTACCAAGAAAAGCATTGTTGTCTCAGTGTCTCACATGCAGTCTAGCAAGACCAAACCTAAAACTGATGATAAGGTAACCACTTTATAGCCACCCTTAAACTTGTTGTCACTCATACTGAATTACATCCACTCTCACTTCTTTCCTAATTTTGCAAGCCCAAAACTGACACAAAAGCTAAAGAAAACACCTCACATGATAAATCTTCAATTGTTGTACTGCCTGATACTGCTGAAAATAAGGTACTACTACATCTCTTTCCTTTCATCTCATTCATTAAGACCTAACCGCCACTTCTTTTACAAGGGAAAGGGACTACCAGAAACTGCTGAAGAAGCCAAACAAGCAACCCCATCCTTCCCTACAGATACCCTAGCCAAAAAAAGGTGCTTTGATCACTCCTAGGTGCATTCCAATAATAAAGATTTCTTCCATTGTAACTAACACATCATTTCAATAAACAGAGGAAGGCCTACACCTACAGCAACACCTCCGGTTGCTAAGAAATTGTTCAAGGATGATGCCCAGCAAAAAGGCAATGACAGGTTACTCCTCAAACACAAACTCACCTATCTACACATAACAAATTAGCAATTTAAAGGCATTCCTAATCTCAGCTCTTAATTCATCTACACAGTGAATGAGTTGTCGACGTGCAATCCATCTCAAGACTTTTTCTTATATATATGTACAAAGCTATGTCCCAGCTAGAAGACAGATGGCAGTTGTGAAATTACCCAGGACTAAGGAACCAAGATCTTTTGTTCATGGCTTTTTGTCATGATTATCATTGTATATAAGTGTTGCCTTATCTACCTTCCTTAGCATTGTATGATCTAAGATGCTACTGCATCTACTACCAATGCTGTAGAATATAGTATGTATATGCATGCAGTCTAGCTGAATGACATGCCTTTATACTATCTAAGTAGTTCGAGTAAAATGCCTGCCGTTACAGTAATAAGCTATCCATCTTGATACCCTTTTCACAAATGCTCACAATTCAATGCTTCAAACTAATTCATTCTTTTTCACCACCTAAAACAGGAAAAAAAACACAACCAATTTTCCAAAAAAGGAAAAACACAGATAATTTCCCAAAAAAGAACAAACGCATTTTGATCCAGATAAGCTGGTGCAGCGCGCAAAGCGCGCTCCCGCTCTAGTAAACTTTACAATCATGTATATTTTATGCCAAAACACTAATGCATACGTTGATTAATCCTGGAATTATACGCTTTGCTAGATCGTTGGCTCATGATTCATTTCCGTGTTTCACCATGTTCATAACCTGAGATAATAAATATGTTGATTAGTCATGCACTTATTTTTGATAACCATATATCTTTCGGTTTTAAATTGACATATTATTTTATTATTATAACTAACTAATTGAAAGCAATATGTAATACATGTAGATCCTTTTCGAGATAGTCTGAGTGGTGGCTTTTTTTATATGGAATAAAAAGTAATGAACGCGCTAGTCAAGTTGTTGCACCTATATGCTCATTTTTCAAGTTTTTGCACTAGATCACACCCACCTATCATGTTTATGTACCGTAGACGCAATTTACTCTAGAATATAACATTAAGGTTATGTTAGGCAGCCTGTGTTTTCAACTCTCTCTCTCTCTCGTGTTCCACGCGTACGCTTTTCAAACTGCTAAATGATGGTTTTTTTACAAAAAGTTTCTATTCAAAAGTTGCTTAAAAATTATATTGATCCAAAAAAATAGCAAATACTTGAATAATCACGCGCTAATGGACCACTCTATTTTTCGTCGTGCATCGGAGATTTGTTTCCAACACACACAAATGAACACAGCCTAGCTAAAAGTTAAACAATTAACATTAGTCGATAAGCCAAGACTCATATAATTGGTCTTGCAAATGCAAAGTTTTCTTTTTGAAAGAAGAAGGAAAGAAAGAGGAAGAAAAATACGAACGTGCCAAATGTGCCGTTCAAGAACTACTCAATAAGTACTTACTGAAAAAGACTTCAAGATTCGTTAGGCTACCGATGTCATGTACCATGCGAGAAATATGTTTGATAGCACCTTAAGAATCTTACCTGACATCCGATCGAGTAAAATAAAGGATGAACCAAAAACCAAAGTCAAGTAATGACCTAATAAGATGGTCACTAGGAAAGAATTTTGTCGTGACCTTGGGTTACGGACAAGTTTGGGGATAGGCGGGAAAAGTGAACTCTCCCGCCTATACTTAGAAATGAGCTCGAACAGTACACACAACTTTTTGCTGATTACTTTTGTATTAAAAATGTCTTATCTGCTACGGGATTTTGACCAGCTTTTGTAATCCACGGTCATACATGTGAGATTACATCTATGCCCCTACGGGCCTTTGTGAGTTTACTATAATGCCTTTGCCACATTTGCAAACATAGGGGCATTTTGGTATATTTTGGAGGTCATTATACTCTTTTGGGCGCCAGCTAGCAAGAGTGGTTGAAGGTGGTCCCCACGGAATCTTTTCTTGGCATCTTCCCCCACTCGAATGGTGTACTTCCTCGAGCTTTTAGGAAGAGTGACTTTTCCGTTTTGGTCCGCCTTCTTCATCTTGAAAGTTTGAACACTCCTTGCCTCCTGCTTCATCCTTGGAATCTACCTATCAAGTTGTAATCTACCCAAGTAGGCTAAGTATTGACGTGAAAAACACACACTACCCTGGCAGATCTGTCGTCATCCAGAAGCCAAAATTGCCAGTGAAATAATAAGAGTTGCTGAAGTAGAATGTCTGCTCCGAAGCAAAGATGAAGATAATGACTTCTGGAGTTGACTCGTAGGCTGATTAATTGATTGCTTCAGCTTGACAAAAAAAACTTGTCGAATTTTGAGTCTTGTATTCGTCTTGTATTTGTGTAGCCCCCGACTCTTTGGTTAGTTGGAAAACAACTAAATATACAGTCGAGAACTGTAGCTTCTTGTCGTCGAGTAGTCATTGCTTGAGTGAAGATACGTGTTGAAGATGTCCGAGTAGAAATATTGAATATTGGAACACCACTTGTTGTAGTAAAATAACATGGCATCATATTTGGTGATGCATGCCGAGATGTCGGAGCTCTTGTAGACGTCTTGGTTGGTGAAGTAGCAAATCTTGCAAAGTAGAGGCAATAGAATTTGCCTGTGCCGAAGATAATGAAGATGAAGTCACCCCATAATGGTGATAAAGTTGCATAGCCGTGATGAAGTGAAGATGAGTCTGCAGCAACAGAAGCAAATCGGTAGCGAAGACGCGTAGTTGTGAAGATAAAAACACCAACCTGCGGCGGCATAACCAGTCGGCGATGGAAGAAGTAGAATGATGACGACGAGGTGGCCAACCGTGAAGACGATAACTCCAGTTGGCGTCATACGAGGCGGCCAGTCGGTGAAGACATAGACACCCAACAACGGCGGCATAATAGGCCAGCCGTGTAGGCGAAGACACCATTCGGCGGCGGCGAAGGCAAGCCGGCGGTGAAGACGTAGACGCCCAACAACGGCGGCATAATAGGCCAGCCGTGTAGGCGAAGACACCAGTCGGCGGCGGCGAAGGCAAGCCGGTCGGTGAAGACGTAGACGCCCAACAACGGCGGCATAATAGGCTAGCCGTGCAGTCGGCGACACCAGTCGGCGGCGGTGAAGACGTAGATGCCCAACAACGGCGGCATAATAGGCCAGCCGTGTAGGCAAAGACACCAGTCGGCGGCGGCAAAGGCAAGCCGGTCGGTGAAGATGTAGACGCCCGACAACGGCGGCAGAATAGGCCAGCCGTGCAGGCAGTGACACCAGTCGCGTGCGGCGAAGGCAAGCCGGCGGTGAAGACGTAGACGCCCAACAACGGCGGCATAATAGGCCAGCCGTGTAGGCGAAGACACCAGTCGGCGGCGGCGAAGGCAAGCCGGTCGGTGAAGACGTAGACGCCCGACAACGGCGGCAGAATAGGCCAGCCGTGCAGGCAGTGACACCAGTCGCGTGCGGCGAAGGCAAGCCGGCGGTGAAGACGTAAACGCCCAACAACGGCGGCACAATAGGCCAGCCATGCAGGCGGTGACACTAGTCGGCCGCGGCGAAGGCAAGCCGTTGGTGATGTTCTGACTGATCCATTCCTGGAGCGTAAGAGATAAGCTTAAAGCCATGAATCCCTTTTATGCATATCTGGATCTGGATCCTACAGAACAAACATATAGGATAAGTAGTATCTGGTGTAAATATAATACTCGAGAAAAATTCAAGTATTTTAAAATATTTATAAATATGTATTTCTCCTCTTGTCAATTTTGATTTCCCTGAGCAGATGACTCCGTACGTTTAAACACTCTGCCCGACTAGTCATAGACCCCAAGCATCGGGAGTCAACCTAGGCACTTCCCAAAGATGCATATAAGTGACATGAGTTCGCCATTAATGGGACAAAGTTTCACGGATTGGCGTTTACTACTCAGGTACTTTTGCAATTATTAAGAGTAGAAAATAAATTATCTTATCTCTATGCTTTTGATTTCTTCCGAGTAATACTTAGCACCTTGCGTTACTTGGTCCATCCAACGAGCCCCCGGGTGCTAGGAATCAGCCCAAAGGCAAACTATCCATTGACAAACCAAACGGAAAGCATAGGAAGATACAACTCCATAACTCGATAGGCACTTTATTGTTACTCGTATTATTTCGCAAGCAATCAAGATAAATATTATGAAAATTGTTGAAAAATATGATATAATATCTGTAGCTCCCGACTCACTAGTCAACGGTTAACCAGTTGATGTAGTGAGGCAGAGGAAAAGGAAAATATCATATAAGAAAAAATAATGACTTAGCTTTGTAATATTCCTCTTGATGATGGCAGAGGTGGCTGATGTGGGAACAAAGTCGTCCATCAATGGCAATGAAAACACCAGTCGGCGGCGGCGGAAGCAAGCCGGTGGTGTAGATGACTAGGCCCATCAACGGTGACGGAGTCCACCATCCGTATAGGCGGAAACATCAGTCGGTGGCGACAGAGGCAAGCCAGCGATGAAGTCGTAGACGCCCAATAACGGTGACATAATAGGCCAGCCGTGTAGGCAGAGACACCAATCGGCGGCAGCGAAGGCAAGCCGGTTGGTGAAGATGTGGACGCCCAACAACAGCGGTATAATAGGTCAGCCGTGTAGGCGGAAACACCAGTCGGCAGCGGACGAGACGGCCGGTCGGTGACAACGTAGACGCCCATCAACGGCGGCATAATAGACTAGCCATGTAGGCGGAGGCACCAGTCAGCGGCGGCGAAGGCAAGCCGGCTGTGAAGACGTAGACGCCCAACAACTATGGTGTGACCGTGTAGGCGGAAACACTAGTCGGCGGCGACGGAGGCGAGCCGGCGGTGAAGATGTAGACCCCCAACAACGGCGGCATAATAGGCCAGCCGTGCAGGCAGAGACATCAGTTGGCGGTGGCGAAGGCAAGCCGGCAGTGGAGACATATAAGCCCAACAAACGGCGGCATAATAGGCCAGCTGTGCAGGCGGAAACACTAGTCGGCGGCTGACGAGGCGGCTAGTCGGTGAAGATGAAGAGGCCCAGTGATGGTTGGAAAACGCTAGGATATTTCCTCACACATGTTTGCTCCCAATCTGCTCGCACGCGTGTATATATGTGCATACG